ATCTTTTAAGTCTCCAAACTCTTTTTTCCTACCAGAATGCACCAGCTGATGGAATCCTAACACATTCCCTACTCTAAGACTCTCCACCTTCGTAGACTTATTTATTGATCCTGGCCCTTCTCCATCTTTCTCATCAACAGCAGACAATTCGTGAGCTGTTTGACATGCCCTTGGAAGAGCCAGCTGTCCCTGTCCCAGCTCTGTCTTCTGCCCCTGAGGAAGAGGAAGAAGCTGTGGCCAACAAGCAGACCCACATTTTGGAACAGGTGAAAGACAGCACGTAAAGCTGGGGCTGTGTCCCCATCAAACTTTTGGATGTGTTGAAAGAAGAGTGATTAATACTGTCCATGCTTCCCAGACACTGGTCAACTCGTGCTTTTAATAGTCATATATAGATTATCCATCATTCATTTTGTGAATTACTTTAAGCCACCAGGCCCTGTCATTTTGTCATTGTGCAATTAAGGAACTTAAGGGAAACAATTTTAGACCCATAATGCCTTCCAAATCCAAAGAAAAATTGGTTAGATAGTATTTTTAATTGTTTGTGCTACTTCTTACCTGTTAGCATGTTGCAGGGGACTTTCTGCCTGGTCCAGAAAGAAATGAGTTAAGAGTCCTACAAAACAGTCTGAATTAGTTTGTTCTAGTTTGGTGGGTTCCCATGGGCCAAACTTGTCTCCTATATAAAGAATAATACTATATTGGTAATTTTGGGAACCCAGAAGGTACTTGGGAGCTTTAGGATTGATTTGGCTTAGAATTTGTTTTGTTTCAGCAAGTTATGGGCTGTGGATGTACACCAACCTGAACAATTGCTTTTGAATATGGATTTGAAGGGTGGGATAGTGGTGGTTGGTGAGAGCTTTTTAAAAAAAAAAAAGCATAGGGTTCTTTAAGGACGGTTGTAACAACTACATCCCTTGCCCCTTTCTACTTCCTAGGCACTATGCCGGGCAGAGGATGAAGAGGATATCCGGGCAGCCACCCAAGCCAAGGCAGAGCAGGTGGCAGAGCTTGCAGAGTTCAATGAGAGTGAAGGTTTCCCCACTGGGGAGGGAGAGGAGAGTGGGCGGCCAGGGGCTGAAGATGAAGAGGTATCCCGAGCTGAGCAAGAGATTGCTGCCCTTGTGGAGCAGGTTAGTCTCTGTCTCATCTTTTTTTCTCCCCTTGCTTCATCTTCCTAGTCCTTATAACCCTCCCCTGGCCTCTTCTTTTTCCCTGTCTTCACCCTGCCCTCCCTAACTACCCTTTAATTCACTTTTTAATCTCTTTCTTTCCTTGGTTTCTTCCCATCCAGACTTGATAGTTTCAGTTATTGGAGTCTACTTTATCTCAGTCCATCTCATTTTCTTTTATTGTTCCTCGTTCGTTCTTCCTTTCTTTCTATTCCTTCTGCCTTCCTTTACAATAAATAAGCATAATGGTGGGGTACCATGTTCCCTGTGTTCATGTCTATCTCTCCCTTCAAGCTGACCCCTATTGAGCGCTATGCCATGAACTTTTTGGAGGCATCGCTGGAGGATGTGAGCCGTGAGGAGTTGAAGCAAGCCGAAGTGAGTATCTACCTGGGCCTGGGCTAGATGTATAGGTCTTGGAGTTGTTACTCCCTTGGCCTTTCCCATACCACTGAACCCCGTTTCTGAACTCTCTCCCCACTTCATCGTTGTTTCTGGTAGGAACAAGTAGAGGCTGCACGAAAAGACCTAGACCAGGCTAAGGAAGAAGTATTTCGTCTACCCCACGAGGAGGAGCTGGGGGCTGCAGCTGGGGATGAAACAGCCTGTGGGATTAGTGGAGGCAGCCATCGCCGTAGTAAGAAAGCCAAGGCCCCTGAGCGTCCAGGAACTAGAGTCAGCGAAAGGCTTCGTGGAGCCCGGCCTGAGACACCAGTGGCAAATACTACTGGTACCCCACCAGCTCATCATACACGTAGTAACTCTACTGCCCCTCGTCATAGCCGAAGCCCTGCCAATGAGAGAACCCCACGGGCTACATCACGGCCCCGGCTTGTTTCACTTCCAGCTCCTGTCTCCACGCTAGTTCCTGCCACTCCACCAGTACTTAGTACCCTACCAGTTTCCACCTCTCCACCAGTCTCCAGCCTACCACCAACCTTGAGACCTGAGGTAGAACCATCAACTCAGTTGGAGCCACTCCCTCAGTTACTGGAGCCTAAGTATGAGGAGGCAGTAGTGGCTGGCCCCAAGACCCCTCCACTAACCCCTCCCTCCACAAAAGACCTGCCATCAAGTACCACTGAGCCCCCTATACCAGAGGAGAGTCTCTTCCCTAGTATACTTGCCCCAAGCCCAAACCCTAAGACAGAGTCTGTTTCCAATGGCCACGAGCTGGATCCTCCAGAGCATGTTGAGGAGACCACACCAATTCCACCTAGTGATGAAGAGTTAACTTTAGCCCTAAGTGAGGACAATGACCTTGGGTCCCCATTTTCTGGGGCCCCTGCAGAGCTTTCTCAGGAGCCACCAGACAGTCAACAACCAGTGGAGGTTCGAGTCCCGTTACCCAGCCCTGAGAAGTTTGAAGTCCTTGCTTCATCAGAGGTTACAGGTCCATCAGCTTCTTCTTCAGCTGCCTCTTCTCCTGAGAGTCCTTCACCAGCTCGTCCTCCCAGGCGTCGCACCAGTGCTGATGTGGAAATCCGGGGACAAGGGACGGGACGGACTGGACAGCCCCCAGGTCCCAAGGTACTGAGAAAGCTGCCAGGCAGGTTGGTCACTGTGGTAGAAGAGAAGGAGCTCGTGCGGAGGCGACGACAGCAGCGTCCAGCTTCAACGCCGCCAGCAACAGGGGCCTCGGAGATTGGGGTCAGCCCTGGAAGCTCTTCCACCCGGAGCAACTCTGAGCCTGAGTCCTCCCCTCCTCTGGGAGGCTCCTGTGATTCTGTGCCCCTTACCACTCTGCCTCCCCAAGCCCGGCGGCCTTTGCCTGCTCGCCGCCGCATTGACCTAGGCAGTTCTGGTGGGGACAGCCCAGAGAATGGAGAACAGGGACAGCTAGGTTTACCTGTTATGAAGCGCAAACGTGGCCGACCACCCAAAAACAGGTCCCCTGGGGATTCAGGGCGTGAACTACATGAGTTGCTCCAACCTGTACCTAAGGACAAGGCCAATGGGGCTGAGTTAGTGGCATCACCTGTGGAAAAGCGAAAGCGGGGGCGGCCCCCTAAGGCACGAGAACCACCTACCCCAGGAACGCTGCCCATTCAGGGAGGTGGTGGCACTGAGAGCCGGACACCGCCACCCCCCTTGCCACCTCCCCCTCCCCTTCCTCTCGTCCCTTCTCCTGTCACTGCCTGCCCTACAGCTGTCTCACCTTCGCCACCCAAACGGAAGCGGGGCCGACCCCCCAAAAACCCACCATCACCCCGACCTAGTCAGCCACCAGCTTTTGAGCATGACAGTTCTTTGGGTCTTGAAGCTGGTGGAGGGGGAAAACAGCAACAGAAGCCTGTTGAGAGTGAGAGTAGCTCCTCTGATGAGGATGGGGGTCGCCCTCTTACTCGCCTAGCCCGCCTCCGCTTAGAAGCAGAGGGTCCCCGGGTTCGGAAGGCAGAGGGATCTGTGGCAGCCATCCCTAATAGGGATGAGACAGAGTCAGCAGAAAGTGGCACTGGTGGCACTGATTCAACAACACCCCCTGTACCACTGCTTCCAGTTCCCCGTTCAACCCGGCTGCGTCCGGGCTCCCTAGTCCCCCCACTGGAGAGTGAGAAGGTGCCCCGAAAACGGGCAGTGACACCAGCTGTTGGTGGCCCTGTCCCAGCCAAGAGGAGGTACCCACGACCTCGAAGCCCTTTGGGGGCTGAGGTGTCAACAGAGGAATCAGAGGCTGAGGCCTCAGGCGAGGAGGAAGCCGAGGGTGATGGTGTCCCACGCCGCCGGCTTCTCCCCCGACGCCCAGTTGTGGCCACCCCTGGGGACCAACGTGTCCTGCGAAGCAGTGCCCCTATGAATACAGTTGGCCCTTCCCTCAGCCACAGAGGTCGGAAGGCTAAGACGTGACCAGGTCCTCCCTCCGCTCTGGCTGGCCAGCTCTGCCCCTCCATCCCCACAGCCAGTCCTGACTGTTAAACCACTACTTGAAGTCTTGGGGGGGAGGCCTTCAGGGGAATACAGGGGACCTTCCCCCCTCCCCCTACCAAAGTGTGTGTGGGGGAACTGGTTGTCATGGAAACAGGGCTCTCTTTACCCTCCCCACCCCCATCCCTTGGCTGGGCAGTGTTAAGGGTGGCAAGATGGCCACTGTCCCCACTCTCCTATACTTGATTCCCCATCCTGACTGTCTTTCACAGGTCCCCACCCCCAGGGGGAGGGGGAGGGACTCCTTTCTCTCCGCGATGAGTTTTTTTTTTTAAAGAAGAAAAAAAAAGAAAAATAATAAACTTAGTTTCCGTATGAGCATCAGCGTAAGGAGGCTTCTGATTTCCTGGGATGCTGGAGGGTGGGATGGGACTTGGGCTTCATCCATTTCTTCAGTCTTGCCCGAACCATCTATTACCCTTCTGTGACCTGAGGTGGTTAGAAGACTTTTGAATGAAGGCTTTAACACAAGCTTCTAAGAACATTACGCTGTCCGATCAAATTATCTCATCGCCTTCCATCTCCCGGTAGTTCTTGACTCCAGCACCACCTCCTGCCCCCCCAAGCTCAGATTTGTACACCTAGGAATTAGTATACTTTGCCAACGAGTCATTCTTGCCTTCTCTTCCCTGAAGTCTGGTATAGCCTAGCTTTAACGTCTTGCATCTCCCTCCCTCTGGCTTCAGCTTTCCATTTTCCAGACTGGCCCTGCTGCTCAAACAGGTTTGAGGTGGCCCCACCCCACTCCTGTAGCTTTAGCTCTTAGGGTGGGTAGATAGGGAGCCATGCCCCACCCCTAGGCCCAGATCCCTGAGTCAGAAGGAGATACCTCCACCCAAGCCAAACCCAAACCAAGAGGCTGGGAGCTGAAATTCAGGGACCTACTGCCAGGTAAGAATCTCTCTTCCTCTTTGACTTCCCCTGGCTTTATCACAAACTTCTTGTATCTTTGTTCGTTTCCCATAAACTGTAACTATATCACTTTAACCCTAAACTGACTTAAGCTCAATTCTCCCACATACTCAGTCCCTTCATTCACATTCATTGCCCTCCTTTGCTTTTTTCCTCCCACTTCCTCACCTATTTTTTTCCTGTTTTTCCTGCAATCTTCCTCCCCTTTTATCTACCAAGTGTCTCCCCAAACACTGATTAATTTGGACAATGCTAATTTCATACCAGTTTATTTCCTGTGATGGAGAAAAGGTAAGAAAAAGGAAGTCCTAGGGAAAGAATTTAGCCGGTAAACCACCTCATGCATGAGTCATTGCAAAAACTTGTTAAGAAAATTCCTGGTCAGACAACATTCCTGAGAAATGGGCTATGCCACTTGATGTTCTTAAAGGGATTTGATATCTAGAAAGGAGAGCTAGTGCTTGGGATCCCAAATACCCTGACAGACTGTCCTCTACAGGTGATGGGAGAAGAACAAAAGGCCCTGGAGACCTTGGTGAGCATAGAGACTGACCCTCCTCCAGCCTCACCTCCTGTTGGCTGCAATTGGTACTCGCTCCGGTGTCTTGCAGCCACTAGTGTCGTCTTTGGCTGCTCCTGTCTTGGAATCATGGCTCTTGCATTTGCTGTGCAGGTGAGGGATGTGGGACTCGGGAAAGGGCAGGGATGGACAAGGTGGTAGGGGGTTAAAGGAGTGGGATAAAAGGGTGAAATGGATGGCAGCATGCAGTTGGGCAAAAGTAAGACAACCTACAACCTGGACCACAAACCAGGTTTTTTTAAGCTCTTTGAGACCAGGGACTATCTATATACTCAGCACTCTGAGTGCTTTGCACATTAATAAACAATTTAATAAATGTTTTATTCATTGACCTTTGCTATATAAAAAACCCTTCAAATCCTGTGGATTTGGTAGAAAAGGAGGAAAAATGGAGGAGCACCTAATGGTACTGTCCCACACTTAGATAAAGCTAAAAGTGTTTTCATACTATTACCTCATTTACTATTTACAGTAACCCTAGGGATTGAGTTAAATATAAATTATGCCCATTTTATAATTAACTGAGAAGAACCAGAGATGAGGCACCTCTCAGAAACTAATAAATTAGACACTTAGAATTTGTGTTTTGAGCCAGTTAAGTGAAGGATGAGAAAGGAAAGTGCTGACTGATCTGGGGTCCTGACTTCACAGGCTGAGGAACGACGTAAGGCTGGGAAACCAGAGGAAGCATTGTTCTTGGGGAATCGAGCCAGGCGTCTTGCCCTGGCTAGTATTGCAGTGTGGCTTGGAGTACTTATACTGGGACCCCTGCTCCTCTGGCTTCTGTCATATGCCATTGCCCAAGCAGAGTGACCCTACTGTGACAAACTTGGACATGAAGTTGCCCTGTGGCATGATAGGTGGACCTCACCTACAGCAAGGTCCATCATCCCGACCAGAAGAACAACAAGGTCCTCCAGGTCCTGGAGGGTATTTAAACACCTTTCAAAAAGTGGTTTCCAGAGGCTGTCTCCCCAGCATGCAGACAACAGAGAGCTGATCAATATAATAAAAGGTTTGGACTTGAATGGACTCACTCCTGCCCATGGGACCTTCACACAGACGTGGGGTTGGAGAACAGGCACTCCTGATTCCATTACAATTAATTTTGTAATTAAAAAAAATTTTTAGGTGGAAGGAAATGCCCCTGTATGCTGGTCTACACTGTCTTTTCTGTCCCCTGATCCTGATGATAGCCGTTTGTTCAATTTCAGAGGGTGAGAAAGACAACCTCAGAGTACTGAACCTTTTTCAGTTTGACAAATATGCAGTGACTATTTAGAGTCTTTCTCACCTGACACCTCTTGACTTTACAAATCCTTATTCTCACCTGGCACTCCCCCCACCTCGACTTTACAAATAAGAAAGCAGAGTCTCAGCAAAGTTAAGTGACGTGTCCAAGGTCATCCAGCTAGTAAGCCAGAACTAGAACTCATCTGTCTCCCAGACCCTTGCAACATGTTATGTAACTAGCATTGTATTTACTGGGCTAAAGAAAGAAAAAGGTGGTTGGAGGCGGAGGAGTTGGAAACGGTTAGTCGGAAGTGAAAGCTTTTCACCATTCCCCCAAACTCGAGACCTTGCTGCAGCAGATTAGGGAAGAAACCTGCTGCAAAATGGATAGAGGGTCTGGGATAAGACTTAGCTCTTTTTTCCCGTTGCCAGCAGATGGAGACAACATATTGGCTTCCCGAAGGGAGCTTGGCTTCGAAGAGGAGAAAAGTGAAAGCGGGTCTGGATTCCTCCTCCTAGTAGATGAATCTGGCTGGCTCTCTCTTTTATTCAATGATGGTCCAGGTTAAACCATGCCTCGGGGCATGAATAATCCAGGGGCGGTCCAGGTACCAAGTGCCACTCTCCATAACCCCGCCAGTGGAGACCCCACTTCAGAAAGAAGTCAGTATCCACTGATGAACTCGATCACTTCCGGGGTCCCTTAAGCAGGGTTCCCTAGTCAAGTGTGTCCCGCCCACTTACCTGCTTTTGCTGCGCGCCGATTGGGCAAAACGTTCACTTTTCCCGTCCTGAAAGGGCGAGGTCCGCCCCCTCCCTCTGGGTCCGGGGTCGGCTTCCTACTGGCTAGTGCTCGCGGGCCCTCGACAGGGAGATTGACGAACTGCGCAGGGGGGTGGAGCGGAAGCGAGGGAGCGGCGTCTGATTGGTTGAGGGGGCCGAGGCCTCCGGAGATTGACTTGGAACAGCTCGCCCGGAATCCTGGAGTGAGCCGCCTCGTGGAGACCCCGAACCTCCAAGAACACCCCCCATCCCCCTCCCCATCCGCCCGGTGGGTGAGACCGAGCGAGACCCCACGGCTTCAACCCTCCCGCCCCCACCCCGCTTTCCCAGTGCGCCTGCGTGCCAACGGTCCCATTCTTCCTCCCCGCCACCGCGGTTTCCCCTTTTCCCCTTCCCTCCGCACCCGTCCCCCCATCCCTCCTCTCCCTCTTCCCTCCCCCCCAGCCCTTCCCCGGACCCCAGCTTCTCTTAGGGCACCTCCCCCAAGCTCAGGCCCTCAGTGTCTTCCCTAGTCCCCTCCTCCCCCCTCCCCCTCCCCCGTCCCCTGCCCCTCTCTTAGGACCCTGGCTCTTCAGCCGCTCGCTCGGCGCCTCAGGGACTCCCGATGCGTGTCCCCCCAGTCTCAGCCCCGCAGCTCGGGCTGGTGGGCCTCACTGCCCTCCTTCCCCTCCCTTGCCGCCCTCCCCTCGTGTCCTCGCAGGCTCCGCAGTCTTTCAAGATGACTCTGGACGTGGGGCCGGAGGATGAGCTCCCCGATTGGGCGGCAGCCAAGGAGTTCTACCAGAAGTACGACCCCAAGGATGTCATTGGCAGGTAGGATCCTCGGGAGAGGCGGCTGGCTTTCACGGGCGTCCTGCGGGCAAGAGGGACCCCTTACCCACCCCCATCGGACAGGTGAGGGAGCCCCACAGACCTGGAGGCAGTGACTGGCCAAAGGGCCCACCTGTGCTGACTGTCAGAGCTGGGGCCTGGGCCTAGACTGGGTCCTTGCCACCTGTCCTCGCCCCCACCCTCCAATAATAAGTGGAAATGCTTTCAGAGCTGTTACTTAATTTGAGAGGAAAGAGAGTACCCCACTGCAGCAGAAAGAGCATTTGGAGACCAGAATTCCAGGCTTTGGCTTTGACACTGACTCAGTTGTGTGTACGGGCAAGTCCAATCATCTCTCTAGGCGCTGGTTTCCTCATCTATAATTTAGAGGTTTACAAACAAACAAAAAAAACCTCCGGCTTGCCTCCCTGTTTCTAGTTGAGAGCAAGTACTACGCCATAGGAAACTTGTTAAAGGCTATTAAATCTGGAGAAGAGAAGACACAGCCAGGGTCCTAGCATCTTAAATTTAGAGCCAGAATGAACTTTAGAAGTCATGTAGGGGCAGCTAGGTGGCGCAATGGATAGAGCTGCAGCCTTGGAGTCAGGAAGACCTGAGTTCAAATCTTGCCTCAGACACATAACACTTACTATGTGTAACTATGGGCAAGTCACTTAACCCCATTGCCTAGCCAGAAAGCAAAAAAAAAAAAATTTTTTTTTTAAAAAAGAAGTTATCTAGTCCAGTCCTCTTCCTTTTACAGCTAAAGTAACCAAGGCCCAGGGTTGTTGTCATATGGAAGAGGGATTCGATTTAGGATCATAGATTTATAGCAAAAAAAGGTCACCTAGTCCCCATGCCTTATTTTATAGAGGGAAGACTTGAGGCCCAGAGAGGTGAAAATGTCTTGCTAAGGTCACAGAGGAAGCGACAGAGATAGGATTTGAACAGATCTATTGTTTTGCTTGCTCCCAGAAAACACCTAAAAGCCATGGGTAAAAAAGTTTCAGATGAGCATATTTCTGTCTAAAATGAGCAAAACATTTGTGAGTACTATAGCTGTATAGAAGTGGAAGAGCCTGTCACCTCCTGGTTGCAGGATATCTTTATGTATAGGCTTGACAGTTGCTCAGAGGGTCATTCATTCAACCAGGGATAGCACATGTGGTGCTTATGTTTAGGTGTAGTTTGTATAAGTGACCCCTGAGGTCTTTTAAAATTTGAAGTTTTATTGCTAGCATTTGTTTCACATCCTTTTCATTTCCCAATATATCTCTCTTCCCCATCCAAGCAATTTTTTATAACAGGGAATAGAAAGAGGAAAACTTTAGCAAAACTAAACCAACATGTCAGCTAAGTCCCACATTCTGTACGATGCCCTACCTCTGCAAATGAGGGGGAAGGTACACTTTCCTCTCTCTTCTGGGGGCCAGAAGTTTGGTCATTATCGTTTCAAGTTTTTGTTGTTTATATTTTCCATTTACATAGTTTTGTTTTCCTTGTTCTGCTTACTTTATTTTGAATCAGTTTGAATGAGGCTTCCCGTGCTTCTCTATATTCTTTATATCAGTTATTTCTTACAGAGCAGCAATAATTCATTACATTCATATACCACCACTTGTTTAGTCATTTCCCAGTCGGTTGGCTTCTATTTTGGTTTTCATTCTTTGCAACTACAAAAAATGCTGCTATAAATATTATAGCATATGTAGGATCTTATGTCCCTTCTAAAATGAGATACTGTAATTGTTGTGGATGGGTAGTTACTTTGCAAGAATCTATCGGGGCAGCTAGGTGGCACAGTGTATATAAAGCACTGGCTGGAGTCGGGACGAACTGAGTTCAAACAGCCTCAAACACTTACTAGCTGCGTAATCTAGAGCAAGTCACTTAACCCCAATTGTCTCCCCCCCACAAAAAAAATGCTTCTATCTAAGCATTGTACAAATATGAAGGACTATTTGATGCTTCCCAAAACCACAAGGTTTTACTGTCTTCATATGAAATTGAAGAGAGACACAGGCTTCATTGTTTAGTGGACATGTAGCCAGGAGACACCTGGGTTTGAATCTTGACACTGAGACTTAATAGACATAATGACCCTCAACAAGTCATTTAATCTCTCTGCTTCTTAGCTTCTTCACCTATAAAATGGAGATGTTTGCACTCCCTGTTTCATAGGGGTATTGAGACAAGTGTTTACAAACCTTAAATCACTATCATAAATGTAAAGAAACAGATTGCTTCTGTATAACTTTGCGTATTATGATGTTAGTAGCAAAGCTGCCTCCCAATCTTTATATTCTTTTAATCAATCAACAAATCCTTCTTGATTTATTTCCTATAGATAAGGTCTATCTAAGCAGGCAGCTGGAAAAAGAGGAGGGGATAAGAGATAGAGGGTTGGGAAGAGGCCATAAGGTGATCTGAACCAAGGATAAAGTCCAAGGAAGGTTATCAGGTGGGTAGGGGGTGGCAGAATGTGCAAATGGTAGGCAGAAGAAAAGTTTGGCCCTCTCACCATCCCTTTTTTTTTTTTGGTCCTTTCCCCCACCCCACCTTCAATCAGGGGCATAAGTTCTGTGGTCAGGCGCTGTGTTCACCGTGCTACTGGCCAGGAGTTTGCAGTGAAGATCATGGAGGTTACTGCTGAAAGGTTGAGTCCTCAGCAACTGGAGGAGGTGCGAGAAGCAACCCGAAGAGAAACCCAGATCCTGCGCCAGGTTGCTGGCCACCCCCACATCAGTGAGGCTATACCTCCTTTCTTTGATAACTCAGTTACCCTGACTAACCCCTAATTGTCCCCGAAAAGATTCTCCCTTCTACCCCAACATTGCCTAGTCATCCCCTTCTGGCTGTGTGCCATTACAAATTCATAACCCTTGGACCCCATAACTCCCCATCTTACCTCTTTTTCCTTTCCCTATAATAGCTCCCATCTCTAACAGTGAAAAAAGCACCCTTAATGTGTCTCCTCCTTTCTATTTCTCTGTCTTTCCTTCTCTTTTTCCCTCTTTCCCCAGTCACCCTCATCGATTCCTACGAGTCTTCTAGCTTCATGTTCCTGGTGTTTGACCTGTGAGTATCTCCCTACCCAGGTTTGAAAACTTTCCATAGCCTTGTGCCTGGCCCACTTCCCTAACTTCATCCCTCTGTAGATGTGACAGCCTGCTCCCCACATCTTTCTCAGTTCCTTCTCTTTGGCTCTGGACCCCATTTCCCAGGCTTCCCTCCCTTTTTCTTTTGCCTTCTCTGCCTCCTTTCCTAAGAGTGAAAATGACTAATCAGCTCTAAGGTAACATCTTTAACCAGGAAGGCATATCACCGAGATATATCACCGAGCTAAAACCAGACCCTCGAATACTTCACTGGGTTTATAGCCTGTGTGACCGCATAAGTGATAGCCATCCATTTCTCTGGGGCTTTGACAATCCGTAAGAAGTAGGCCCTGTTTGATGAGCCTGAGGGATTCCCTCAGTTTTTTAAACTTAGGTTTGTCAGTTGTAGAATATATTATAGGCCCTTTGGCTTCTTCCAAGAGAAGAAACAGTTAAGAGACTGTTTCTTTCTTGTCTTTGTATACTTAGTACTGTGATGACCTTGCATATAGTGGACATTTAATAAGTATTTGTTTAACTAAATTTAAGGAAGACAATGACTGGTTCCCGTTAGCTCCCCATATCAAATGCATCTTTTTCCCATTGATTTTTCATCTTTTAGAATGCGGAAAGGAGAGCTGTTTGACTACCTCACAGAGAAGGTTGCTCTCACAGAGAAGGAGGCCAGGTAAAAAGGAGACCCAGGGGATGAAAACCAAAGGGAAGAGAAGGGCAAAGGCCCTGGTACCCAGGGAGTGAGGGAACTAAAAGGGAAAAGGCTTTCTGTGTCCCCACAAAAAGGAGGGGATGAGGAAAGAACTGCTAGGTTTGAAAGGTGCTGGCTCTGGGACTGCAGAGGAGAAGGCTCTCCCCCCAGGTCTATCATGCGGTCTCTGCTGGAGGCTGTGAGTTTTCTTCATGCCAACAACATCGTGCACCGTGACCTGAAGCCTGAGAATATTCTTCTAGATGACAGTTTGCAGATTCGCCTTTCGGATTTTGGTTTTTCCTGCCACTTGGAACCTGGCGAGAAACTTCGAGGTAGGGGAGTCAGCCATCCTGAGCAGCTGAATCTTGGCTGGGAAGGGGTCAAAGACCTGATGAAGAAGGTGACTGGGAAACACATACCTTAGGTACAGAAGAAAGGAGAAGTCATTAAGGATGTATAGAAGCCAATGTTCAGGGAACTCATTCTAGGTGGGTAGAGATCTTTGTGAGGTAACTTTAGAAATAGTCACAACTTGTCAAAAAAAAGTACAGAAAAAGAGATGGAACCTCGGTTAACTGGAATCCAGCAACAAGTAGGAAGCCCCAGTTAGACTGTGAGATAGTCTCAATTTCTGAGTGAAACAGATAAATCACTTTAAAATAAACTAATAGCAATTTATTCAAAGTACCTTCTTAAAGGTTATATGACCTGGGGTCATTACAGATCCTGTCTAGTTTCCTTTGTCTACAGTATTAGACAAATATCATTGATTTTTAGCAAGTACTTCCATGAAGCTCTACAAGATTCCTACTAACAAAAGATTGTTAGTTCCTTGAACTATAGTATATTATTGAAAGGATTTTCGGTAACAGGGTTTAAAACAAAGAGCTTTTATTGGCTGAGAAAAATGATTTAATCATTATACCACATTCCCTGAACATTCCTGTTTTAACATTAGTGACTTATACATATTGTGTCCTTAAGATATTGAGTGTGTGGAATTGTGTTGGTAACTGGGGAAACCTTCACAGAGGAAATAGATTTTCCAAGAAAAAATGTATTCCAGGTTAGGAATGAGCAAATTATGTGTGGGATTATAAACAGATTTAGTTGACTGAAGTAGTAGAGTTGTATTGGTGAATAAGAAGGTAAGATTGGAGAAAGCCTTGATGTAGTCAAAGAAATTGTGGATTTGATCAAATACGTGAATAGGAGGCCAGGCAGGCATTTTCAGCTGGGAGGGTGAAAAAAGGAAAATAATATCTGAGACTCCTCCCAGTAGCTAAACATAATGGATTGGAGGAGAGGGAAAGCCTAGAGGTAGGGAAACTAGCTAGGAGTTGCAGTAATCAAGGCTCCAGGGGCCAGCAGTAGGATGTTAGCAGAATCCCTAACGTGTCCTTCTCTCTTCAGAATTGTGTGGGACCCCAGGATACTTAGCCCCAGAGATTCTGAAGTGCTCCATGGATGAAACCCACTCTGGCTATGGCAAGGAAGTTGACCTGTGAGTCACTAGTTACTTGGTTGGTCTTCTTTCTCCCATTTCATTCCCCTGCTCCTAAACCTGTTCTTCTTCCCTTCACAGCTGGGCCTGTGGGGTTATCTTGTTCACACTCCTGGCTGGCTCTCCCCCATTCTGGCATCGACGCCAGATTCTGATGCTAAGAATCATCATGGAGGGCCGATACCAGTTCAGGTCACCAGAATGGGATGACCGATCAGCAACTGTCAAAGACCTGGTGAGTAGATCAAAGGCTGAAAGTGGGGGGGGAGTTGAAGTAGTCCAGGAGTAAAGAGAAGTGTCTCATGGCCCCTGCCCTCTCTTAGATCTCCAGGCTGCTCCAGGTGGATCCTGAGGAAAGACTGACTGCAGAGCAGGCCCTGCAGCATCCCTTCTTCCAACGCTGTGAGGGTAGCCAAGCCTGGAGCCTTTCTCCCCTTCAGCGATTCAGGGTAAGGAACAGAGAGAAAACATTACAAGACAGAGGGTCCTGGGAAAACAAAACCCACCACTACCACACATCTACCTCACTTTACCCTTCCCTTGGACCTAGGTGATAAGAGAAGATATTATCTCCCTGGGACCCAACTATCCTTCACAGGTGTCAACTCATACTTTTAGTGTGTCCATGATCTTGTTTTTCTTGTGTTTTTTTTTTCCCTCTCAGGTAGCAGTATGGACAGTGTTGGCTGCAGGCCGAATAGCCCTGAGCGCTCGCCGGGTAAAGCCCATGACCAAGGGAGCTCTATTAGGAGACCCGTATGGGCTTCGACCAGTGAGACAACTCATTGACAGTTGTGCCTTCCGCCTCTATGGACACTGGGTAAAGAAGGGTGAGCAACAGAACAGGGCTGCCCTCTTCCAACACCGGCCTCCTGGCCCATACCTGGGCTACAATCCAGAAGAGGAGGGAGATCCAGCCAACACTGATGATGAATCTATTGTTGCATAGTTCAGACCTCTATCCTGGAGCCCCCAGAAGTCTGCTTCCCAGCCCAAGAGCCTTGGGAAGTCCTGGTTTCTCCATCTGAGGGCTTCAGTCCACTCAGTCACCTTGGACTCTCGCTGAAGGCATTCTTCCCTTCTCGTGCTCTGTGATGATGATGCTACTGTAAAGGGGACCAGTGCTATGCCCCCATCCCTGCTGCTCAGGACTACAGGACTTGAATGGAAGGAAAAGGGACCAGCTGAGAATGATATTCACATCTTTGCTGTTGCTGTCCATTTTTCATGTGAAATAAATCATCCTGCACACTGGGAAACAAGTGGTGTCTCAAGGTGGAGTGAGAAGGTGCTCAGAAGAGGACCCGGGGGAAGGGACAGGGCACTTGTCTGGCCCAGGCTTTTATTTGGGTAAATGCTCCAGGGGTGACTTGGCTTTGTTTTTGCTCTTGGAGACTAAGGTAGGATTTTCAAGGGCAACCAGCCTGCTATTGAGCTGCTCCTCGCCAGCCTTCAGTCGCTCCTCCACCAACTGCCTGAGTTGCCCCAGCTCCTGGGTAAGCTGGGCTGAGATGAAATCTCGGAGGATATCGCCCGGATCTGGGTTGTTGAAAAAGTGGTTCATACTTGAGCTGAAGGAACCTTTAAATAAGAGAACCTCAGTCCCAAGTTGTGAGGAGAGAGGATTCATGGTGTCATGGTGACATGACCAATGAGTGTCATGGGAGGTAGGAAATACACTATTCTCAATTTAGTCCTTAAGGAGCTCCCTTTGGCTAGAAGGAAGCCCTCCAAGGAAGACTGTGAGCAGCAGAATTTTTTTCTCTATAGGATAAGAAAGAGAACAGCTTCCCAGGGAAGACTTAGGGAAACAGGTACCCCTTGATTCTTTACTTGGTTCTTGTTCAGTTTTGATTTCTGGTGCTGGCTTTTCTAGAACAGGAGATGCTGTCTCCACTACCCTTTCTTCCTCTTGTACTACAAAACGAAAGGGAGTAGCCATGAGCCCCAGAGCATGCTTCCCAATCCTCTTCCCAGGCCCACTTTAATCTCTACCCACTTACCATCTGCTGGGGGCTTTACTTCAGGCAGACCTACATATCTCAAAGACAAGTCTAACCGCACCTGGGAGAGCAGAGGGAATTTTGGAAGAGGAAGAGAGGAATGACAACTATATTAAGATAGGGAAATGGGAGAAGGAATAGACTGGGAGGTTACTTGTATCCTGTGGGACCAGTACCTGGGGAGTGAAGACATACTTGTAGAGCTTAAAATGACGGAAGTAGGTGTTGACAATGTAATCTGATAGGCTCAGCAGCTGCTCTTCCCCAAATAAGTCAATGCTGAAGGGGGGTCGCTGTGGGAAAGGGTAAGAATATATAGCTTGGTTCTTTTTCCTACAGAACCTTCAGAGCAAAGAAAGGGAGAAAGTACTATAGCTTTGGCCTCCTAGGACTTGAGGTAAAGGAGGGAAATAAAAAAATTCTGCAGCACTGGGATGAGGGTGTTCTAAATTTGTTAGAGTTCTCATTTCCACTGTGATGGGACTGACCCTGACTCCATGGCAGAAGAGGAGGTTGGTGAAAAATTGGAAACATTCTTCCACGTTGCCCAAGGGGGTTGCTGTGGAGAAGGAAGAATAAGTGACAGTTATAACTCCCCTCAGCCATATGGAATAAAAGGAGTGGAATGACCTAGGTCTAGGAATAGGGATTGGGTCTCTAACTGTAGTGATATACAGAACTCTGGAATGAGGTTACTCCCTCTGCTAATGCAAGATGGCACCTTCTCTGCAACTTCTTAAAAGAGTTGCCCAGAAACTGAGAAGTTATAACTTGGGTTATTTGCTCAGTATCACACAGCTGGTATATATCAGAGGTAATACCTGGATGCAGGGCTTCCTGGTTCCAAGGCTATTTCTGTTCACTAGTACCCATCATTGTCACCTGGAATAACTGATTTCCCCTCCCTCAGCCTATTTGCTCTTCCACAAAAGGCCGAAGTAAAACTCTTGAGGTCCCTCCCAATATTCTGCTGTGAACCTTATTTCTGATAGCCTTCAGGTTCTGTACAAGTCAAATCAACAAGCATTAAGTGCCTACTTTGTGCCAGGCACCATGCAAAGCACTGAGGATATAAAGGTAAAAACAGTCTCTGCCCTCAAGAAGCTCACAACCTAATGGAGACAAATGCAAAAAACAAAACAAACAAAAAAAACTATGTACAAATGATGAGTACAGAATAAATTAGAGATGTGGCTCCTGGGTTACTGTTCATTTCACTTCTGAACCCAGAGAAACTCACCCTCACCCTTACTCCTACAGCTGCCCAGCCAGTACCAAGCAAGCACTATCTGATGCTCATTATCACCCCTGCCCAACCAGCCCCTCCCACCCACCCTTCTCAGCCTGGATCTGAAGAATCTCTGCAAGGCCCTTCTCCCTGGGGCTCTAACACCTCGACTCACCAATGCAGGCCTTGTGGAGGTCCTGAAGCAGAGCACAAGTAGCCGAGGTCTGCTCCTGAGAGAAGTGCTGCTGCCGGCAGAAGATCAAGGTGTGGCAAAACATATCCAGTATCACTGCCTCCCTAGGGCTCCTCTCGGTCTTCCCCAGGCCTAGCAGTTCTGCCAACAACCTTGGGGTGGATTAAGGTGAGGGTAGAGAGCAACCAGTTCAGGAGTAAAAGATCCTTTTGAGTCACCCCATCCTGGATTCCTGGGAAGGTCTATCTTTCCTCCTGGTGTGAGCTCCCTCCCTCCTTGTTTGCCTCATCCATTCAAAAAAACAGACTATTGGGGTGGGGGGGAGAACCTTTAAGGTAATCTATTCGAACCCTCTTAATTCACTTAGCCCGTACTCCTGCATCTCTTCCAAGGTGGTGGTTTTCTCCAGTAGGTCCATGGAATGTACATCCAGGTATTTCCTGCAATTTGAAAAGAGAGGCGGTTGGATACAGGTGCTAGGAAGAGGAATCCAGCACATGCCAGCTGGATTGCGAGTCATGAGACCTGAATTCTAGTCTGAAGTTTTGTCACTTCTCTGCTTGGCCCTCTCAGGGCCAGTTTCCTTATCTCTGACTAGGTGAATGCCCTTTTCCTGCTGTCTGATTCTAAAACATTCCCTTGCACTCTGCTCACACCCTTCCCGGATCTATCCCAGCCCATCCGCCGCCCCAGTCCCAGCCCCGAGCTCACCACAAGCAGATCCGGGGCGCGGGAAGTGGCGGCTGCGGAGAAAGAGGGTTGTGTGACAATGCGGCTGGGTTAGCGGGGCCCTCGGGAATCTCTGCCCTCGGGCTTTCTCTAGGGAAATACGAGGGGGCGAAGCAGGCGAGCTTCCCTGCGGCTCGCTCGGTTAGACAGTCCCGGCGCGTGAACGTTCGTGTGTTCATGAGAATTCACCAGCCAGGCACGCCCCACCCATTCCCAGGGATGCAGCGAAAATATCACGAAGAAAAATATGTGCATTCCTGCCCGGGCTTCAGCAGTTCTTCGCAGAGACGTCAGCGGCTGCAGCCTTGCAAAGACTAGCCAGGCTAGGAACGTTAAGCGGCCTGGAGTCCTAAAAGCTGACCCGACCCGCTCCTCTTGCGGTACCGAAACTGGGGAAGCTAGGGGTAAATAAACGTCCCTGATGACTACCCACGAGTGAACAAACTTGTCCCGCGCTCACCGGCAACAGGTTGGCTCCCAGCTCCTCCTCTTTGCTTTCTCCCCCAGGTTCGGGCTCTAGCTCTTGATTTAGCTCTTTCGCCGTCTCTAAATTCAGTTCTGCTTCCTGGTTCAGGCCCAGGGTCGCATCCAGCCGCTCCTCGGAGCTTGGGTTGAAGCCCAATCCCACAACAGAGCTCAGTCCGGAAACTGCACTTGATTTTCTTCGTTCCATCGCACCACCCGCTGCCGCTGCCCCAGTCTCTGTGGCTCTGTGCCTCCGCCTTGTGTGCCTTCAGGCCTCGGCTACGGGTCAGAGCATTGAGGCCTGCCCCCTGTGGTAACTCGTCAGCCAATCGGGACCAAGAAATAGTCTTGGTTCAGCCAATCCGTCAGAAGCGTCGTTGCTTGGGTTAGCGGTTGCTAAGGTGACTTATGAGGGCGGGGTAAAGGCGCAACAGGAGTGAAGAGCGGACCAATAAATGAGAAAATGCTGCGCGGCGCAGTATTTTCCGCCGCGAATATATGCTGTCCTCTGAAACTACCAATAAGGAAGAGGGTGGAGTTCCTGGGACAGAGGAAGTGTGGTATGGAGACGGTTGCTATGGTACTTTGTCATTTCACCAATCAAGGGGAAGAGGATGGGCTCCTGGCTGAGAAAGCATTACGGAGGCAAGAGGCGGTTCTAAACTCCAGGCTCTGACCAATAGGAAAAGAAAACTGACCAATTTAGTTACGTGCCCGCCCACTCCTCCGCGCCTGCGCGCTTTGGAGGAATTCAGTGCGACATCCGGTGACGTACATCGTGGCGGCGTTTGGCGGAGCCTGACACAGGTGAGGGATCCCCTGGGGGCCAGGACCCAGGGAAGGCCGCTGGTCAGCTGGGGAGCTGTTCGAAGAAACTGAAGCCTCCCTGGGAGAAGATAAGAAGGAAGGAGAGGGAAAGGAGGAGCGAGGCCTCCCCGCCCCCGTTGGGACCCTGAGTCTCCCCGGGCCCCGCCTCTCCCGCAGGTAAAGGAAGGGCCGCCTCTGGTCGCCCACCTTCTCTGCAGCCATGTCGGGGGCCGGCAACAAGCGCGCAGCCGGGGATGGGGGCTCGGGCCCCTCGGAGAAGAAGCAGAATCGAGAGGAGAAGACCACGACTACCCTTATCGAGCCCATCCGCCTGGGAGGCATCTCCTCCACGGTCAGTGCAGCCCCTTCCCCTTCTCCCCCTGCTCCCCATCCTCCCCCCCTTCCCCACACCTCACCCCCGTCCCTACCGCTCATCCCCGACACAACAGTCGGACCCTGTGTATTGGAAAGAGCCCCTTAACTGGAATCTAAAGGAATGAAACTCGGGTCCGGAAGCCTGGCCGTGGCCAAGTCAGTTATCTGCCCTAGGAGCTTCAGGTTTCCGTGTAAAACGAGGTTAACCCACAAGCATCCAACTATGTAAACCTCAAAGCCCCCCACTTTGTTATCTCTTAGGTAGTGGGATCGATCCAAATCTGATCTCATCCTCCTGAGAAGAGATTACATCTGTCTACTCCTCTCTCTTCTAATTCTTGTCTCTGCCTTTATGTAAATATTCTGCAGGAAACCTACCCGGAACACTGAAGGTCTTCTGGTTCCTTAAGTATTTGGGGAGAACCACTGTAGCATTCAAGCTGTCCCTCTGTCATCCTTCCAATTCAGTACAGATTAATTCACGTTTATGGCTACATGTGTTTCGTTAACATGTCTTCATTAATGTTTTTAATGCTTTGTGACATGGTGGATAGAATGCTAGACTTGGAGTCAGGAAGACAAGTCATAACTTCTCTAGGCTCAGTTTCCCCTTGTGGGAAATTTGTAATGCCCATTTTGCAGGATTGTTGTGTGGTTTAAAGGAGATCATATGCAAAGTACTTTACGAACTTTAAAGTGCTATTTAAATTCACTTGACATTATTAGGGGTCCCCTTGTTAGAAGTTACAGTGAGATTTTGATTCACCATTACCTTCTTCAGGACTCTGCTTTCCATTTCTCTTTTTCTTGACATTTTATTACAGCCCTCCTGACTCACATGTTCTTTTACTCACTCTGCCTTCTACAGGAGGAGATGGACCTGAAGGTGCTACAGTTCAAGAATAAAAAATTGGCTGAGCGACTGGAACAACGACAGGCCTGTGAAGATGAACTAAGGGAGCGGATTGAAAAGCTAGAAAAGCGCCAGGCCACTGATGATGCTACACTGCTCATTGTCAACCGCTATTGGGCCCAGGTACGTCTCCACCAGCCATGATTCCTGCCATTTGCCTGAGTTTATCTAGTCTGGAGCTCTAGAATCCCCTTGCTTCTTTTAGGCCATGCATCTTCATTTTCTTGTTCCTTTTATCTCAGACCCTGTATCAGTCCCCAGTTTTCTCTTCTTTGAGATCTTGTTTCAACTTCCATTTCTGAGTTTTCATATTCCCCTTTCGGAGAGAGATATTTTTGCCACTGAAGTCTCCAGAAAAGTCTTGTTCTCCTATTGCTCCCTCACAGCTGGATGAAACTGTAGAGGTCCTACTCCGACGACATGAGGGACGGGGAGAATTGCTATCTAGGACAGAGGAACCGGGAGCTCAAGATGGCACTGAACCTGATGGGGCCCCTCTGCCTGAACTGGGAAACACAGAAAGAAGAGGTAAGACCAGTGGTGGAGAGAGATCAAAAAGCATGGGGAAAGTGATGAGCAGAGTGGAGACAATACACGTTTTTAAGTGACATATAAATGTTAGTTATTAATAAAGGGCCTACACCACACGTTATGCAGGACGCTGCTTTTCATTTCTCCTTTTAATTATTGCCCTTCACACTCTATAGTATGCCCATGTCAAATATGACAGTCATATTTGGATCTCTGTTACAGATCTGCCCACTCTTCAGCTTCGGCCCCCACTGAGCGAGCCAGCTTTGGCTTTTGTGGCAGCCCTGGGTGCCAGCAGTAGCGAAGAGGTAGAACTTCAGCTCCAGGGCCGCATGGAGTTCTCCAAGGCAGCAGTGTCCAGAGTAGTAGAGGCCTCAGACCGACTTCATCGGCGAGTAGAAGAACTGTGTCATCGAGTCCAAAGCAGAGGTGAATCCAGGAGCACTCAGCCCCCTTCCCTGTTCAGAATTGAGGCATATCAGTTTTTATTTGACTGCAGATGCCCGTATGCTGCCTGCCTATAGCAGGCCTATTGCACATTTCCTCAGTTCCTTCTAGGAACCTTTTCTCTGTCACACAGTCTCAGTTTCCTGCTGATAGCTTTTTCTTGTGGTTGCCACTGCCCTCTTATCAGTCCCTCCTTTTCCAGGAGAGTGTGAATCTCTCGGGGAAGGCCTTAGGACTTTAACCAGGGAGCTTGGACAAGACAACAGGCGACTACAGGACTTGACCACACAGCTGCAGGAGAAGCACCACCGAATCTCTCTGGAAGTAAGACTGCTGATATGGGGCACTTTGATGAACGTGGGGAGGAAATAGGAGAACACTCAGCCCACACCTCACTACTTCACCTCCACAGTACTCAGAACTGCAAGACAAGGTGACATCAGCAGAGACCAAGGTGCTGGAGATGGAGACTTCAGTGGAGGATCTTCAGTGGGACATTGAGAAACTGCGCAAACGGGAGCAGAAGCTCAATAAGCACCTAGCTGAAGCTCTGGAGCAGGTAGGGACTGGGAGAAGATAAAGGGAAGGTCAGTGAGTTGGTTTCTGGACTCCCGTGATTCTGGTTTTTTTTATTCTGTTCTAGCTCAACTCAGGCTACTATGTATCAGGGAGCTCAGGGAGTTTCCAAGGAGGCCAGATCACACTCAGTATGCAAAAGGTGAGCTACTAGTGTTCTGTTCCCCATCACTTCCTTAGAGTCGCACTGTCTTAAGGCCCTTGAAATCCCTCTCCCCTTCTGAGGTCCCATTTTGGTTGTCTATTTTGCTCACATATCTCTGTCCCTTTCTTTATCTTGCTGCCCTGGCCCAGTTTGAGATGCTGAATGCTGAGCTAGAAGAGAACCAAGAGCTGGCCAATAGCCGCATGGCAGAGTTGGAAAAGCTTCAGGCGGAGCTGCAGGGTGCTGTGCGGAGCAATGAGCGGCTGAAGGTGAGGCCTGGGCCGGGGAGGAGAGAATAGTTCAGGAGAAGACATCGCTTCAGAGAGCGTCTTTAAAAGTGTGGAAGGATATGGACCAAATGATCCAGGACTTTATTATTCTGTTACCTTTTCAACTCCCAGGTGGCTCTTCGGAGCCTGCCTGAAGAAGTGGTAAGAGAGACTGGTGAGTACCGACTGCTCCAGGCTCAGTTCTCTCTGCTCTACAATGAATCCTTGCAAGTGAAGACCCAGCTAGATGAGGCACGGGGGCTACTTCTGGCTACCAAGAACTCCCATCTCAGGCACATTGAGCACATGGAGGTAAGGGCCAACAGTCATGATAGGCCCATCATCTGCTTCCAAGTCCTAAATCATTTTATCTTCCTTCTGCTATCCCCCAGGAAAGGCCCACCGCACCATTTACAGTGGAGATAGGGACTCAGAGTCCTTTGATGTACCATAGCATTTAGGGGAGTGGGAAGGGGAAAAGAAAGAAGCAGAGCCAGTATTCTAATGCATATCACCTCGTTCCATTCTAAATAAAGGGGGGAAAAAAGACTAGCTGTGAACAGGGAGTTTGTATAGTTGTTATAAGTTTTTAATTAGGCATCAGTGGTTTTCTATCTCTGAGGTGCTGCTTTTAATTCAGTGTATTTTTCTTAAACATAGACACATCTCTTTCCTCAGGGAGGAGTGGGGATGCGTGGAGAGGGCAAGGTGAAGTAAAGTACAGTTGTGGTTTATTTTTATTTTATTTCTCATTTGTGGGTGGAACAATACCATTGTACAACAAGAGATATCTTTAATTCTTCTTTTCCTACTGGGAAAGAAGTTAAATTGCACTCTGCCTAAACTCTGTAGCATAGCAAGGATTGTGACTGTACTATCTGGGGGGGGGGGGCATCTTTTTTGGGGGGGTGCTAGGCAGTGGGGTTAAGTGACTTGTCCAGGGTCACACATAGCTTGTAAGTGTCAAGTGTCTGAGAATGGATTTGAACTCAGGTCCTCCTGACTCTAGGGCTGGTGCTCTATCCACTGCGCCACCTAGCTGCTCTGATCATACTATCTTTTGAAGGGAAGAGAGGGAATGGGGTCATGATATCTTTAGGGCTTAGCCTAAGTCTAGGCCTAGGCCAATATGTATTGTAAAGAGCAGTGGATTCAGAGGTAGGAAACTTGGTTTCCCAGCATTGGGTATGAAGATATGAGAGAGGTGTCCCTTCTTTGGCCTCTACCTCCCAATTTCTGTGCTCTTGATTATGGGCAGAGTGATGAGCTAAGCCTGCAAAAGAAGCTTCGAACTGAAGTGATTCAGCTAGAGGACACATTAGCCCAGGTGCGCAAAGAGTATGAGATGCTGCGAATCGAATTTGAGCAGAACCTGGCAGCCAACGAGCAGGCAGGTAAGGGATGCTGGAGGTTGTCATCGGGGCTAACCTAGGGCTTGAGACAGTGTGTACTGTAAAGGCCAGTGGACTTAAAGTCAAGAAGCCTGGTTTTTCTAGTTCCAGCTCTGTTGCCGTCTGTGAATCCTGTAAGTCATTTCACCATCTGGGGCTCCATTTCCTCTCCTGAAATGGTGACAAAGTAAGGCTCTCGCTTCCCCTCAGAGGTTTTT